AATCTCATAAAAACTGGGGAAGGAAACCCAGGGAAAAACAAACAACACTGGCATATCTAAGCAGTGTCTTAAAGAAATGCATTGCATGGGAAGCACCGACAGGTAAGTGATTTAAATAGATGAGATCAAATGTCCATGAACAGATCCTAATCTTAAACCGCTGCCTGTAACTAGTTTAGGGAGAGAGAAAGGAAATGAAGTATTTACTGGGTTGCTTCCTAGTGGTAAAAGGGTCTATCTGCTTTGTAAGCAACCTTCATGACTGAATGGTAACTGGCTTCTTTTTCTCTGAATAAAAATAAAAAAATAAATGCACAATGCACCCTAATTCTCTGAATAAAAATAAAAAAAATAAATGCACAATGCACCCTAAAAATTAAGGAGAAAATAGCAACTGCTTTATTAGAATGAATTCCTGCTTATGTGCATGGCTTAGGAAGTTCTGATCTGAATAGCAAAGTGACCTCAAAGAAACAAACAATTTTATGCTGTCATATAGGGAAAACGTGACAATGGTCTCAAAATACAAGGGAATAATATATATATTTTTCCCCCTTCCAAATGAAGTTCATTCTGCAGCTCAGCTTTCTTACTGTCTTACTCTGCTTTCCCAATACAAACTTTGTCTTCCACTAGCTCCCTTATCATACAGGATAGGTGGTTGCTACCACAAACAGCAGGGTACTGTTATGGAGCTCATTGCTTTTGTGACAAACACCTAAATGAAATAGGAATTCTGAAGAATTTACTTCTTTCCCCCCACCACCCTGTGACTATAAAAGGTGACTTTATAAACTTAAGCATTTTTTAAAATGTTTACTCAATTTCACATACAGTAAAAATCCCAGAATCCCAGAATGGTTGAGGTTGGAAGGGACCACTAAACATCATCTAGCTCAACCCCTCTGCTCCAGCAGGGACATGTAGAGCACGTGGCACAGGGTCAAAATGCTACCTTCAAGAAAAAACAAACTAGAATTTCTGTAGATCTCTTACAGCTACACCTAAATAAATAACGTTAACAACAGGACTAATGTGCAACTAACTAACTAACTACAATGTGCATTATGATTCCTTAAGGGGGAGAACAGACAGAGAACTTGTCTAGAATTGCTACACTGTTACATTAAGCAGGTCTCACTTCAAAAGATATAAACACCAAGGCATATGTAGCACACTATAAACCCAGAGCTACATTCCTCTGTCTGAACAAGTAAACTTAATAAACATGGACAGGGTTTTATGAGCACAGTGGCCTTTAAAGATCCTACAGAATAATTTTCTTTTTGTCTCAACTGCAATATGAGACAATTACAAGTTTTTTCTTGCAGTTATCAGAAAAAAACCCAAAACAACCCATCAGGAAAACAAGAGGAAGAACGATGAACTCACCAGAATACATAAGGACACCGCTGGGACAACTTTGCAGTGTCAAGATGTCACCCAATATGAACTTTTAAGAATTCTGTACTCCAAGATGTTGGATGTGAGGCTATACCCTTCAGATTTTCCAAAGCATTAGGTATACTCAGATCCTTTAAAGCAGGCACAGAACAGGCTGCTCAGAGAGGTTGTGGAGTCTCCCTCTCTGGAGATCTTCCAAACCCGCTTGGACGCAGTCCTGTGCCACGTGCTCTGGGTGACCCTGCATGTGCAGGGGGGTTGGACTAGATGACCTCTAGAGGTCCCTTCCAACCTTAAGTGTTCTATGATTCTATGATTCAGTCAGCACTGATCAATATATTTTTTTCCCTTTATGAAGGTAAACATTAGAACCTCCATTGACTCTAGTGAAGTTTGAATTATGCTAACTCACTGCTTCTGAGGACACTGTAAAGTGTATTAACTTATCCACGTTTCAAAGGAGAAACAAATTTCGGACATTATCAGTCCACATTTTAGGAGGAAAGTCTTTTCACCTGTTTTCAGCTAACTCCTTTCGGAAATTTTGATTTCCTCAAGGAATGCAAGTAACCAGTCTATTAACAGGTGCTGATGCAAAATAAATACCCTATGTGTACAAATACAGGCAATACCTAGCCTTTTGTCCAGTCCCCATTTTAAAGAAAACCCACACCCCAGTTACCTTCTTGTGACTTTCTGACATCCAGTGTGACACTGTGAAAATCCATATGCTCCAGTCACACAGCCTTATGGGGATGAGCTAGTCCCTATGGCCAGCACATGCAGGTCGGCTGTGCAGCACTTCCTTCCATGTGAACCCTCCTAAGGAGGGCTCTACCTGTGACAGAAGGTTGTAGGAGGTGCATGGCCACAAAGCAAAGGAGCAACAGGCTGCAAATTCAAGGTGAACACGCCACAAGACATGAATTTGAGACAGAAAAGGAGGAAACGTACTGTTGTTCAAGAACTGCGCAAGATTCTGAACTTTTAAAGAACACCTGTAAAATATGTCAATTACTAGGGCTCGTGTCCACCACATGTAGAGATACGTTGAAGGAAAAAAAAAAAAAAAAAAAAGGCAGTAACCTCACCAAAAATATGTTGCTGTAGGAGTTCAAGGTCACCTATGACATGGTTTGCCACTTTGCAGGAAGAATTAGCTCAACCATCTGTTGGGGGAAGAGCCCACCTGAAGAACCATGCTGACGGCCAGCGACGTGGTTTCTTCCTAGGAAGCTTCCCTAAATCTAAAAACATCGCCTTTTTCCTACAGCTAAAATTAAGACACCCCTTACTTAGATTGAGACAGCGTTTGAGACAAGTTTTCCCAAATAATCCCGTATGTTGGAAAGACTGTCCTGGTAATCTGTACGCTTCCCAAATTTTCACTTCACACTCCTAAACCAAGGTGTTTTTTTGTAAGGGAGGGAAGAAAAATAAAACATAACAGGGAAGTGGCCACACTCAGTAATTTATATTTATCTTCTAATTTCCAAAATACATATTTTTATACAGTCAACTGTTCCCCTTTCTATGGGATTTCAGTGACACAGTACATGCCCCAAGTCTAAAGGTGCCCATGCATCTTACAGGCCTAAGCAGCCTCACTCGAGAACAACGAGGACATGGACTTACAGGATAGTCAATGTCCTTCCTTTCTTCAAGGACACATACATCTATTTCAAGCAAGGTAAATCTTGTAAAAATGGGGCATTTTGCAAATCCAAAAAAAAACTGTTGGCATCAAAAATATTTAGTAAAAGCTATAAATAAAGAAAATGCTACTACTTGAAGTTAGAATTAATATTTGAGTTAGGATCAAGAAGGCACAGGAAAGGGATGATTCTTATTTACAGACAAAATTAGTCAATGAAAAGCCTCCCCTGTAAACCAAGTGACTCTGTAGTTCTCAAACATTCAGAAACATTACAGAAAGATTTAAAGATGGTCAATCTCACCTTGCACACCCCAACCTTGCCTCAGAAAGCACACGTATCATTCATTTGGTCATTAAGAGGAGAAGAAGTGAAGCTAACTCATTGGTATATTCTATTTCACAGCCTTAAAAAGATTAATGCTGCTAAGTATACTAAACTCTGAAGTTTCAGAGAAAAAAATATATATACACTTATATGCTAGATACGCCCTTTTAAAATAAAGACAAAGCTGAAGGAGCCTACTGAAGATCTGATCCATTAGATAGAATATATCCATGCTACCACTGAAGAAAAACAGTGGAACAGAAATGACCTCATCCACAGTTTGGTCTGCATGCCCCTTTCCAGAAGTTCTGGTTAATATGGCATAAACAAAATTCAGACCTTCTCCCACCAAACTCTTTGTTCTTTTACATGACCTTACAGAGCGTGGTCTAATCTCCACTGGTTGGCACAGCATTTGCCAGGTTTTCACTTCTCCAGAGCTGATAAGATTCTTAGCTGTAGATGGGCCCCAATTCTGCAAAACACAGGGACTGCTCCTCCAAATTAGCTGTTCTGACAGAAACTCCATTCACAGGAAATACTTGTTTCCTTAAAGTGAAATGTGTGTTTCTCTTAAAAACTACTCACGCTTAAAGACCAGGTTCCACGCAACTTTGGTCACAGAGAAACACACAAATTCTTAAAGCTCCTTCATTATTTGTTGTATTTGTATTCACGTAGAGAACCTTTGGAAGGGAGCAGAACAGGGAGGCTAATGGGAGCAAGCTGTTAGCAGCCCTGTTTGCACAGCAACAGTCACACACGGTGCTTCTAACCCAACCAGCTCTTCGCGCTTGAGGCTCCTACAACTTTTATGTCTGTCACACATACCAATGAATGCCCCTTTAGCCAGAAAAAGGCTCCAGCCAATGGATAAAATACCACCTCCTATGCACGATAACTGCTTTTACTATCTGCCAACAATCTGAAGGAACAAGAACCTAAAAACCTCTGAAATCCACTCCACAGAAAGGCACCTACATCTATCTTAAAAAAAAAAAAAAAAGGCATTTGTGCCTTCATATCGTGGTTTGAAAGTACGTGAATATTGAAAGCATAATTCATTAAATAAAAGTTTAACATGCTAAGCTACAATTTAAACTTTAAAAGGAATACTGTTAAAAGTATTTTGGTTCAATAGTGTCTTATGTGAAAATGAAACAGGAGACCTTTACTTAATGCCAAATTTTAGTGCACTCTAAATGAGTAACTATCTTCAAAAATACACTTCTCATGATTTTATATCAGACATAGTTTATAATTAAAATGTTAGAACAATTTGTTTGGTTGAAAAGACATTACAAAACAAAGCACTTATTGAACAAAATATTACAGACAAGTATTTCAGATATTTGAAATCACCTTTCCGTCATAATTCAAAGCCAGTGACACCTGTCAAATATGGGCAAAAAAAGGCAGACAAACTTAATGTATTTTTTTAAAGCAAAGCTACAGCTACAAAGATGGCAAGAGTTGAATAAAACAAACATGTCGAAATACGTATTTTATGAAGTGAGGTATGGTAGTGTTCAAGTGCTACAGTGGACTTCTGCATATTCAACCTTATTTCAGGTCAGCTATTTTGAAGCTTGAGATCAGCTGATCTCTGTTTGCTGCAATCTTTTGTCATAGGACCTCTATGTTTAAATGTCCAATGGCCACAGAGAAGATACATTCAATTTAGCAAAAACTAACAACACCATCAGATATGAATAAGCATATCTGGCAATTAGAAGGCAAACTTTAAGTAAAAATGCAAGCATAGAACTTATAATAAATACATTTTCAAGCATGTAACATTATTGGTATTTTTAAAAGAATTTAAATAATAAATGCAACTATTTTATACAGAACTGTACCATTTATTATACACACAAGTATATCAGTTCCCTTTGTTTACAAAGGCTGGTTACAGATAATATGGAATGTTACAGTACCATCTTGCATAAAATTTTAGTACAATTCGTACTTCAAAAAAGGGTGCAAAACACCAGCCTAATAAATCTGACTGAATTGAAATATTTTTAATTACATCATTAACATCATTAACACATACACAACAAGCTGTACATAAGCCCACTTTTCAATCACCACTTCAAGATACTGTAGCAAGTACGTTAGATTATAAATGATTCCACTATTCAGTTAAATTTGTTAAAGGTTTGCACTGCTACTCACTCTGGAACCTTTGAGATATAGTTTGTAGTCATGAATTACTGAGCTCTTGTTAGTGCAGTTAAAAAGGCAGTCAACACTGGTTGCCAAATACTAGCCACAAGAGATTTCCTCAGAGAAAGATCATCTGGGAACAAACATTTTTGGATACTTTTTTTCTTTCAAAAATTTAAAAAGAGTTTTATGGGGTCAAGACTCTCCATTCTGTACCTTGGATGCTGGTGGATGCATGAAGTCCTTGAAGGGAACCAGTGCCTCTTTCAGGGCAGAGCACACCTCTGACGAGGAGCAGGTGATGCACTCCACTAACGTTGGGTACAAGGCGATCACCTGTGCCCACGTGTTGGCATCAACTGCAAAGAAGAAAAGAATAAAATTATTTCACTTGCTGATTTCTTACTTTTTTTTTTTTAATAAAAACTACAAAAATCTAAAGGAAGTAGCAGGAAACTAATTCTCCAATGTGTCGAGTAGACCTCCCTTTGAGAAAGCAAGCAATGGCCTTGGCAATCACTGTCATATACTGAATGGGAGAAGCATTTCTCATGCCAACAGGAATTGGAAACAGTCCAGCTGAACCGAATTGGCTACTCTATCCCTCCAAGGAAAAGGCCCCCTCAGGAAGAGCTTTCATTGCCTTCAGGGCACCCCAAGCAGTTGTACTCCTCCTGGCATGGCACTGCCTTCAGGTTTTCTGTCTCCAGACAAAAAATAACCCTGCCTACCCGCTCACACCGTGAGTGAGGCATTACGTTCTCAGGAAAGCCCCCTGGCCACGTTCTTCTGGAAAGGCCAGTTTGGCTTGGGATGGACAAGGCTTTCCCCCCGCCTCCCAAACTTCACTGATAAATGAAAAAAAAGGGAGATGGAGTGAAGTGATGGGCATGTTATTCTGTTAGAGTTTCAGAGTCCAGTGCAGCTAACTTAACAGAGAGTCGGCATTAAGCAGCATAATGACACTGCCTAATAAACATCTGGCAGCAGCTGGAATATCTGAAACTTTGGGAAAACAGGAACAGCCTATTAATATGGACAGAAGAATATTTATCCAGTAGAGTCTTTAAAAGAAAAAAAACATTATTGACTGTAAATTTTCTGGTGGGAACCATCTATGCAGTTACAGGAGACAAATTTCTTTATTACAAATGAAGTTGTCACCTTCCATTTAATTCAGCTGTTCAAATTCACCCATCAACTACCTAGCTGGGCATCAGTGAGCTAAGGTATCTTTCCTTCTGCATGAGGGAGGCACGGAAAGTGTTGGTGGCACCACTGCCATTTCTGGTCTGGCAAAGACAGTGCAAACATCTCCACCTCTTCCTTCCCATACATTTAAAAATAAATAAAGGTCAACAAACGAGATTGTTTTGACTGGCTGATAAAGAGCCTAAGTTCTGCTTTCAAATAAAAATGTACATTTTGCTTTCTTGGGACAAAAAGAAAAAAAAAGCACATTATATTTTAAAGGTTTATCAAAAATATTTAATATGTTTTTATTGTAAAAGGCCTCGACAACACTGCATTAAAATGCTTTCCAAGAGTTTCTTCTCTCTGAGATCACTGGAACAAGGCAACATAATGTTTAAACTAATCAAAATGCCAATGAATTACTATGAAGTATCACAAAGTTTCATAAGAAAAAATAAAGCAATCAAAGATATTCAGGTCTGTGTTACTCCAGAGCTTCAAGTAAAAAAATACTATGTTAACTTGAATAAAAAGAAATGATCTTGAAGAAGAAGAAGAAAAAAAAAACCACACAATTTCATTAAAAGTAGTTAATGAGATTCACACTTGTTATATATGCTGTTTAACCCAAACTCTTGCTCATTCATAAGAAAGACCTAAGATTTGTTTTTGCTTTATTATTTCTACAAATTATTATATCAGGTGTGGGGGCAGGAGGTACTAGAACAGAAAGGGATGGAAGGTAAGACTTGGGCATGAACAGCCCAGGCATTCATTTCACTTGTACTCCCCTTTAACTGCAGGCTGCAGCTGTGGGCATGAGATCCACAGCAACCTAAAAGGACACCATAAGGGGAAAAAGGATCCGGCAGGACTAGCAAATATAGCTATATATATTTAAAAATTCTACTTCTTTTTTTTTTAAGAAGATACCAAGTTCTTTTTAATAACAGAGATAAGAAATGAAAATCTTCTATTTTATTAAGCACATTTTAGGATTTTATACTGTTAGATAAACAGGAAAAGCTCTCCCCTGGCCAGTCTACCTGGCATGTACATATACACAGAATTACAAAATACTGAGTCTTACTAATTACACTTTCCTTTCCAATTTGTGTGAAAATTCTACAGAAAAGAATGAACACATCGCTGTAGTAGATATAATTTTATTTTACTTAGAATCATGTTGTTTAAATGCAACTTACCATTTTCAGGCTGAGTTTTTTTAAGTGAGTCTATCAGAGTACTGACAGCTTTCAAAACAAATATGATTTCTGTTACTTGTTGCCTATAAAAGGAAAAATGCAAACAGTCAACTATACAATTTAATCTCAAGAATACAGATTTTACTTGAAACTTACATTAAAAAGCTGCAATGACGCCTACTGAACAGATATTATGTAACTGTCGTTATCACTGGTTCTTTAAATTTTCCACCATCATAACTGTCACTGGCTAGGATGGCTTTAAATTTAATATTAGAAAAGCAACAGCATACAAATCTCAGTCTAAAAAATACTGATGTACACGATTAACTGGAAAATGAAAATAATTAATTCCATCAGTCTTGTGGATTTAAACGTTCAAAAACATTTCTGTTGAAATTAAAACATAACTAAGTTCACATTTTAAAGTATTTACTCTATTTGACCTAAACGTAGGTCATTTTTTTGTTTCAACAACAGTTACTTGAGCAGTGACTCCCAAGAGTGCTCCTGGATGCTTCATCACCCTTTGGAGGAGACTCCACGTTGCAGGTCAGAGGCTGCTGCCCTTGCCTGCGCGCCGCTGCGGGACGTACCGTGGGAGGGGACACTTGCCGCTCAGTCTCTCGTCTTCGATGTAGCGGTGCAGCACGTCCTGCGAGCGCTTCAAGAGCACAGAAAGGGCCATTCTAGAGATGTAGCCTTCCTGAGGAGTTGTGACTTTGTTACTGAATGAAAACTGCAGCAGCGTTTCAAAACACACTTTGGAAAACTCCTCTCTCATCCGAATATCTATTTCGGCTTCTGTCAAAGCAAAAAGTTTTATTTAATTTTTGCAATGTGCATGCTAATATGCCAAATGTTGCATCTCAATTAACTTTTTTTTTTTTTTTTCAAAATACAATTAAAATAGCACTCCTATAAATTTTTTTAAAAAAATTAACATTGACAAATATTATCAATACATTCTAAGAAAAGGTGACTGGAAAATAATCATAATAAGTGCCCTAAATAGAACATAAAATATGTAACAGTTATTAATGTGCAACCCAGTTATGTCATTAGTTACACCATGTAGCTATGCTAAGATAAAATTAGTTTCTGAGGATTTTATGTCTGTCTTATAATTGTCTAAAATTACCAGAGCTATTTCAACTGGCATGAAGAAAAAAAATCATGCATGAAGTCCAGGAAAGACTAAAGAAATACAAGTACAAAACAAACACAGTACTCATGAGAAGTAAAGAAATAATTAAGAAAAAAAAATCTACATGAAATGCTCTGCAACTTCTATGAAACGGAACGTAAGTTTTAAAATCAGTGATTTAAACTGAATGCATGTCATGAACCTTCAAGTTTTGATAAGAGTAATTACTGTTGTAATTTTCTTTCTAATAGATTTAAAAACCCTTTTAAGTATCTTTTGTCAGTCAGGTACCGTACCTGTAAACGAGGATGACTGAGAATGTATTGAGCCTTTATTGAGCATAGTCATTATTTGACCAACAAATTCCTTAGGAATAAAATTAGCGTACGGCAGTATCTCTGTGCTTATAAGCTGCACCACCTAAAATATAAATATATTCATACTGATTTGTTGGAAATTAAAGTTTATAATTCTAGTACACAGAAGACAGACATATTAAACAAGATTCAATGTTCAAGAAAAATCTGAATATCCATTTCTAATGAAGTCACAAAAATATCTCCCAATGCAATAACCCCCAAAACTGTGGATTTTTGTTTAACAAATTAAAGCTGAACCACTATTTTGAGGGGGGTTCTGTCTGAGTTTCTTAAGCATTTGCCATATGTTCCTCAAATTAAATTCAGCTTTAAAAAGAGAAAATAAGGCATTCAGAGCTGACTTCCATGCCCCTCTCTCCATCCAGTGCAGCATCCTCACCAAGACCCATGTCACATGGCTACAACACGATGTCTGCAAGGAGCATGAAAAATAATCATCCAAACAGTAGGGGCAACACACGCTAACTGAAGTGCTTGAAATCCCTGGCCTGGCTGTTTCCAGTCAGGAGCAAAGTGGTTTTAACTCTCTGCTTGTTTGTGTACCAGACCTCACAGTCCTGCTAACTGCAGACAGCACAAACAAGACAGCAAGAAAAAGTTTTTAGCAAGCAGCTTCCTACTTTTTGCAAATTCTGGGCTTATGAATTTGTCATCAGTCTTGTTTTTAAAAAATTTTGCCAGAAATACTGAATTAATGATTTTCAAAAATAATTTCAAGAATACACAGACTCTGTTAATGTCACTACCTTGTATGTTTGACAGGATAACATATTTTCCTTTATTCTCCTTACCTCAACATCAATACTCTCATTCTTCTGAAATTCTTGAATTGAGAGATTATCAGGTGGTGTACTAAAAATAAACACATCATATTATACTTTCAAATTCACAAAGTATATCAGGAAATAAAATAAGGGGGGGAAAATGCATTTAAAGATCAGTTATTACATACGTCGTTTGCACATTATTGTTATGGTAATGACAAACAGTTTTGAATTAAATATTTTACGAATAATGATGCAGAAAATGTTTTGAAAGAAAAAAAATTTAGTTTAAGAGTTAAAACTGATGGATTGGATTAAGGACTTGGCAATACCAACCCCATTACTTTTCATACCTGTATTAATAATCTCCTGTGTCTTATATATTCAGAAGTTGCAATACCTGCCAGGCTTAATGCAGGAAGGTACTGCCAAGGGATCAGAGTTTATCATAATTCATAATATTCCCAAGATTATGAAAAATTTTTGTAGTTCAGCACTTACATTTAAAAAAACACCATAACTTTATATCATTTTCCTTCTACATCAATATAATACTTCACATTCATGAGACAATACTTTGTCTCTTTTTTGAGAGCTCAACGTGATACATTTGTTGTCATTCTTAATTAACTTTAAAAAGAAATAATCCCATTTTACAAGCAATGATTTTGAAGAATTTCAACATTTTTTGTCATTTATCCACTACATACAGAAATTTATTTACAGATAAAATGCCCAGTTCTTGAACCATGAAATTTAACCACTGCTCTACAAAATCTCACCTTACCTGATTGTAACTTTCGAAATCTTACATTTTTTGATTGGAAACTTTATGCCAACTATCAGTCACACACTGTTTGCTTCCCGGTTCTCTCTCATCCACTGAGTCATTCCTTCTGCTTACTAGACCATCTGGTAAGTTGATCAAACTCTCCAGTCTAACTGAAAATTAACCATTTTTTCCTTTTCTCCATCATGTGTCTGCCAAGTTAACTGATATCCCAAGAGGATCGAAAGAGAGGGATCTCCTGTATTGAAAACAATCAGCTACTTCCCAGCTTCTGCTCGAGAGTTTTAGTTTGGATCACATGGCGGCTTTTGAGGTGGCTCCTTCAGACACTTCCCTTTACCAAACCTTAGCTTGTCTCTGGTCTCAGAGTGCAGAACTGGATTGCTTGTCAATTAAAACAAACCAGTAGACATTCACACCACAGGAAGCCAGGCTAGAGCTCCTCTGAAACGGGGCTCTCAAAGGGAGCGTTGTGTGCGCGAAGCTCCTCGCCACGAGCGGTTTTGCTCCACACACCTGCCTCAGCTGCACAGCGTTGCTGTTGCTAATCGAGACACAGTATTTCACGTAGCACTTCTGCCTCCAAACAAGAGTCTGAGAGTAGCGGGTTGAGTGAGAGCTCCGGGCGGAGGAGGGGAATATGGAAGGTGCTTTACTCAACATACTCAACAGACAGTTGAACTCCAAGATTCCGTGTTTATGATCCCACATCGTGGGATTATATTATAAAATATACAGATTCAAAATGCAGTTGGCCAAATTATATAAAAAAAAATACTATGAATCAGTGTCCTAATATGAACCAGAGTCCTCTATCAGCCTTTGGCACAGGGAGCTTCCAAGCAGCACAAATTGGGAGTTTGGAGGAGTAGCTGAGGAAGCCACCACTACAGAGGTGCTTTGCACTCTTCCTCGGATATCCACTATCTATCAGAAGCAACATAAACAACATACAGGGAGTCTACATATCTACCTGATCTGACCTCGTTAGGCTGTTTCTGTTTGCCTGACATAGTGCAGAAACCAGAGTTCTCATGCTCATGTTCCTTTGAAATTTAAAAACGACTGTCAAACCCATGGTAAACTGCAGGTGCTACCTCTCCATCACGACTTGCATAAACACTAGTTTGTGTAGAAGATAACATTCTATCAGAGCTAAGATAATAACTAGTAATATTAACAACAACGATCTGAGGCAAGGTTCTATAAAAGGTCAATACAATTCTAAACAGTAAATTCTCTTCCTTCTTTCAATTTTCTGTTTATCCTTTTAAAACAACTACATATAAAATCTCCAAGCAAAGGAACAGCTTGGGAATTCCATTTGTAAGGAATGGATAGAAATACTGGATTCATGATTGCTTGTGCTACTTCAGCTTACTGTTGTTGTGCATTATTTGTATGTGTTATGATGCATCTTAAATTAAACATTTTCTTTTCTTTTTCCAGAGAAACTGTCCCATTAAGTACACAGAAAGGTCACTCCTGGGGTGGCAGGCAAGGATGCATTCTCACATTTCCTAATTCCCGTGCACTGGGCTTGGAGCTCTGAGTTACTTTAACGCAGTTTTATGACCTATCTGTCCCCATCATCCATACCGGGTCTGCCCTATATGACTTACTAATGTGGTCATCCACATTTCATCTGATACACAGGCTATAGACTGCAAAAGTTCAGGTAGCAGGTTCCTCCCAAGTAAAGAGATTTTTGTATGGTTTCAATATGAAACACATGGGGGCCACTGCTTCTAACCACTGCCTGCACTGGCCAGGGAAGGCTTCAAAGCATCTTGTTTTAAAGGCTATAAAACAAGGAAAAGGCATCGTGAGACCTGCTGTGCACAGCAGAGCCCTGCTCTTGAGCAGCTCTCTGCAAAGTATTGATTTAATTCCCTCATGTGAGCACAGACTTCTGCTCTAATAAATTATACACATGCACATTTGTTGAATTTTATTTTATATAATGGCTTGACATGTTTCTAAAAAACCCTCTGGGAAAGAAGCATGATATGAAATAATAAGCAAACCAGTCTTTTACTCAAGACAATTTTGTGTAAATGAAGTTACATGAAATGCATTAATTTTAAAATGTCACTATAGTTTATAATAAAAATCAAGATCGTTGTGACTCCTCAGACATAGCTTGCTAGGAAGAAAAAAATAAAGCTGCACCTTGTTTCTCAGAAGTTGTTAATTCTCTGGCAGTAAAATTTCACTTTATTTACATCAACCTTTTGCTGTATTTTAATTTTCTTGATGCACAAAGCTATAGAGCATTATTTCTGCTGTTCTTTGCACCTTTTAAACATCAATGTCAGATTTTGGACATCAGACATCGATCTCCTCTCACGCAGCACAAAACCTGGCTTGAAAAGCTACTCCAGGGCAAAGCCCAGGGCAGGGACAGGCCGGTGAGGATCACTGCTGTAGGCCTAGAGGGTTCCAAGGGCTGTTATTCACAGAGGCCTTTTGCCCAAGCACTGCCGGTTCAGGAGAAATTAGCCCATCTCCACGCACACAATCGCTGGACCATAATGATTAAAAGAATTATGAGCTGAATTGGACAAAAAAGAAGTGTTTAAAGCGCTGGCTAAAAATTGAAAGCATCAGTGAAAAAATAGTTGTATCTATTCTAAGAAAATTTCTGCTTCCTCAGCCAGCTAGGGACTTGAAAGATAGAAAAACAAGCAAGTTCACACTGGGATATTTTAATGCACAAGGGAAAAACTAGCTAAATGTGCTCCCCACCATTGACAGGACTGACTGAAATAAGGTATTTAAGTTTTGCAGAGTAGACAATTTATATTTATAATTACACCAGCAGTGCCAAGTCAGCTCTAAAGAACAAGGTTCAAAGATCAAAGAGGAAGATATCTACCTAGTTTTGAATAAAGCCTGGACTGATAATAGCATGGAACATACAGAAACTTAAATAGTGGAAAGTATGGAATATGAAAAGGTGTACAGGAGTAAAGGAAGAAAGGCAAGATTCTTGACAAACATTTCAGTTCCCTTGAAGAAGAAACAGGAAAAAAATGGATAATGGGGAAATGAAAGAGTTAATTTTCAGTTCTAACTATATTCGGTTCTTAATTACAAGCAGTAGAAACAGCTAGACACATTGTATAGTGCTAAAAATCCAGGTCATGCAGTAATTCAACTAAGTCTTCATCTCCTAGGACGTATCTAAACTGTGTTTTCCAAATTCTCTGAGCCTTTTCAATCCATGCTGGTCTTAAGCAGAGTGACCAGACTTGTGCACTTCTGCATCTGACCTAATAAACCCCATTGAACCAAAGCTCCTCCTACAC